TTGTAAAGCGACCTTCTTCAACATCTCACTCTTTGGAAAAGGTGGTGAGAATCGATATTTCAATTGTTCAGAATAATAATGGATTATATTTGAATGGTTTTATTTTGTGAGAAATCTGAATCTGTGATGTAACCAGTAACATCCCTCTGTGAAGTTGCTGTAGTAGAAGTACACTGCTAGTTAGTCTACAGATGAGTTTCATATTTCAAGTGCTTTGGGAGCTTCATGTTAGTTACTTCGGGGAACATTTACTTGGAATAGAAACTTAATTCAATATTTTCCGTATCTACACTTTCTAATAAATATAGCTGTTTGGGGCCCGGGCAGTAGCCTACCGTTCCAGGTTTGACATTGTCTCAAAGAGAAAGCTGCAAGCGGAACACAGAGCGAGTCTTCAGACATGTTTTAAACGGGCACTGCACTAGTTCGTATAATGAATTATTCTGTCTGTAATTTGAAAAATAACAAATCGTAAAATAGGTAGAGCTTTAAAAAGTTGTTAAATCAAACCTACGTACTTGTTCACGATACTTTTAGAAATGACCTAAAGGTAAACATTTGTGGCAGTTCTAGTGTAGGTTCTACGTGTATCAAATGCCCTTGTTTATACTTTCTTTGTGAACCACACATCGGACTGACCTGTGTGTCTCTTGTAGTGTTTCAGCATGTTGACCTTCTGGGCGAACTTGCGGCTGCACTCCTTGCACTCGTACTCCTTGATGCCCTTGTGGAGCTTCATGTGGTGCCTCAGAGCGTGCTTAGTCTTCATGCCTGCAGCAGAAAAGACCCTCTTTATGATGATCCTAACAGTGCTGTGTTTCTGCACAGGGAGAGAAGGTAACACGGCGATGGAGCTCACCTTTCCCACACTCTGCACACAGGAAGTCCCGGATGTCGTCGTGCACCCTAAGGTGCTCCTTCAGCATGTCCTTCCTTGCGAATGACTTGTCACACTTATCACAGCCGTGGCTCTTCACCCCTGGAAGAATAACATGGCACATATATATATAATCACTGCTTCTATTTCCATCTACAACAACCCATAGATGTGAGAGGCAATCCAATTAACTATTTCATTAATGTCCATTTTAATGCACTAAAAATAAAACACAAACAAATCAAATAGAAGCTAAGGTGTAGCTCACAGCTTACTCACCATCCCCATGGCAACATTATACTTTATGCTTACATCCCGCAGAGCCTTATCAGAATGGGTCAATACAAGCACATATATATATATATATATATATATATATATATATATATATATA